CAGCCATGGAACGAGGAGGGATGAGAGGGGGGAGGAGGAGGAGGAGGAGGAGGAGGAGGAGGAGGAGGAGGAGGAGGAGGAGGAGGAGGAGGAGGAGGAGGAAGACGAGGAGGATGAGAAGGAGGAGGAGCAGGAGGGGAGCAAGAGTAGGAGGAGGAGGAGGAGGAGGAGGAGGAGGAGGAGGGAGGAGAGCGGAGTGACGACGACCAGACGACGAGAACGACAGGAGGGGAGGAGGAGGAGGAGGAGGAGGAGGAGGAGGAGGAGGAGGAGGAGGAGGAGGAGGAGGAGGATCATGATGAGCATGAGGATGAGGATGAGGAGGAGGGGGATGAGGAGGATGAGGGGGAGGACGACGTCCAGACGACGAGGGCGACCTGTAGACGACGATGCGTCCATCTTGGCCCTTTTGCTATGTCCTGTGCTGCTGCGCTTCCTTATGGCCGTTGGACTTTTGCACATTAACCCATTGAGTTCTGATACCGTTTCGGATGTTTTCGGGTTTTCTCTGACGTCTCATATTTTTCGTAATCAGTCATCTGTTGTTCGGACGGCCTCGGTGGAGTCTTGAGCTCGCAGTTTCCCGTAGCTTTGCAGGGGTTCTCTCAGGGTTATGGACGTTTAGGATGTCCTCGAAGGCTTTCATCGATTTGCGAGTGGTCTCTGAGGTCTACCACGGTTTTCGGAAGCTCAGAAGCTTCCGTAAGTTCTCTCGGAGGTTTTCGGGGTTTCTTTGGTGGTCGGTAGGGGGGGGTATCATCCGCCACCGCGAAGTTCCACATGCTCAATTTGGGTCTAGATTTCGCTCCGTACAAGATTGTTGCCAGGACGGAAGGTCATACCCCTCCAACATCTGGGCCCAGCTTTGTAAGAGGCTGGGTAGCGGTGGCCACTTCCCCTCGCCCTGGGGGTTGGCGAGAATATGGAGGGGATGGAGGAGCGATGGGAAGAGGAGGAGCGATGGTGGGAGGAGCCGCAGTGCGATTTTATGATGAGGAGGTGACAAGGGGAGAGAAGGGTGGGTTGGTGGACGGGAGGGGGATTGTGAGGGGACGCGGGGGGGTTGGGAATGGGTGAGGATGGGTGGCGGATGAGAGGAGGATGAGGTGTGGGACACATGGGGAGGGGGATGAGGACTGCGAAGGGAGAGGGGGAGTATGAGTGGAGGGCGAGGTCGATGGGGTGGGGGATTGGGATGGGTCGGATGAGTGGATGGGGAGGGGGCTGGGGGTGTGAGTGGGAGGAGGATCTTGATGAGGAGGTGGGAGGATGATATGGATGGATGAGGTGGGAGGAGACCGCCACCCTCCTGATAGTCCAACCAGCAGTGCGTTCGTCGTCCTCTTGCATTTGCTGCTTGCATCCGCTCCTGATTATTTCTGCTCCTCGTCGATATCGTCGTCTTCCTCCTCTTACTGTGGCGACTGTAATGTTTCACTCTGACTGTGCTGATCCGCGTTTTCAGGGCGCTTCGACCCCTCTGCCCGCGGCACCCGCGCGGTGCACAATGCAGGCCGTATCCGTGTCCGTGTCTGCGACTCCGCTGCTGCTTTTGCTGCTGCGGCCGCCTGTCCTGCAACTGGTAGTGCTGCTCCTGCGCCTTCTCTTCCTCCGCGTCCACCTCTCCTCGTTGTCCCCTTCGATACCCTCCCCCTTCTCGTTGTCCTGCTCTCCCTCCTCCCCCGCCGACCTCTTGCAGGGGCTCCCGTTTGGTGCCCCCGAGGGCTTCCGGGAGGTGCCCCCGCACACGTGCGGCCCCCGCACATGGGCGGAACGCCCGATGGACCCAGCGGACGTCCCGCACCGGCTGGCACGGCGCGGCACGGGCCCGGCACAGGGCCCTCCGAGCGCTTTGGAGCACCGCTCTGGCCATTCAGAGTGCGTCCAGGATCGAAAATGGGGGTCTTGGGTCCTGGGAGCCTTTTGGGGCACCCTTGGGAGCCTTGGAGTACGATCAGAGGGGGGCGGACACAGTCAGCGCCCTCCCCCTCCCAGGGACCGAAATGTCGCCAAAGCCGTGGGTGCGAGGCCATTCGTGGGCGAGAAGCATGTCCGTATCCGCGGCCGCGAGGGCCTGGCCCCCGGGCCGCGACCCCGCGGATGCGGATGCCGCGCGCGGAACGTATCCGTGCGACGGCGTACAGTGGGAGCCCATCCCAAGAAACACCCTGCTGGCCTCCAGGGTGCCCTGGGTTTCCTGGGTTTCGATGGTTTTGCACCAGAGAGCGTGACGTTCCCACACCAAAAACATCGATGGACGTCCCGTGGTCCCAGGGTTGGGTTTCTTGTGGCAGGTTTCTTGTGGTCGGGCCCCTACTGCATTCGCGGGATCGCGCCCTGGAATCCAGACCGTGAGGGCGTGGATGCGCGTACGTTTGCCACTCATGGGCCCCCATCGGGCGTCCCGGATGGTTGCGAGCTGCGTTTGAAGAAGGTTGCTACGCCTGGGGTTGGCGCACTCAGTGGTTGGGAAGTGATCTTTTTGAAATCGGGCTTCAAGATTGAGGCTTCGAACTCCTGAGTCGGATCCCGCGGTCGTGAGCTTTCAATCGTTCACTTCGGAAGCCCAGAGTTGAATTGTTGACACACGTTCAGTTCTGGAATACGGGATCGAAACATTGAGCTGTTGAACTCTCAACCTGAATCACGAATTGCCAGTTCAAAGTTGAAGTTTTGGTTCCCATGTGTTGACATTTCAACTTCAACAATGCACTTTCCACGTCGTAGGCCAGGCCAGCGCGAGGGCTGGGCTGATCCCGACGGGCGGGGACTGCCAGCCGGGCCACCAGAGGAAAGATCCAGGCAGGAAGGCGGGCAGACCCGAGCGGGCGGATCGAAAAAGATAACACGGCATAAACATACACCTGTGACGCTCCGCGCGGATTTCTTGGATCCGCGCAGAGCGTCGACAGTTTCTGCTTATGGCGTTTTTTCTTCTTCTGGATAAAGCAAGTTCTGAAGCTAGCGAGCGGGCGGACTGCAACTACAGTCGGACCGAGGTATGAGATCGAGGTTGGTTCGGGGAGGGTACCCTGATGCTCTTCGTGCTGGGGAGGGTTACCCTGGGATGTTCTGTGCGTTTTGGCCTGCGGAGGGTCTCGTGTTCTTGGAGGATGTTCTTCTGTCCTTGGTCCGACTCTAGCTGGCTGCGCCGGCGTGGCATTTCAGCGGGCGGGCGGGTTCGGCTGGCCAGGTTGAGCCAGCGGGTGGATCGGGCGGGCGGGGCGTTAAAAAGCAAGCTGCCGCGAGCAAGCGAGCGAGGGGACCCCGAATACGGGGGCCGAGTGCGCGGGGCGTTTTGAAGCGGGTGGGCGGGCGGACGTGTGCGGTGTGTAAGTTGGCAGGCGGGGCGGGGCGGGACACTTGAGCAGTTCTCAAGCAAGGAGCGGAGGGGTCAATCGGGCAAGACAGCGAAGCATTTCTCAGAGCAGATGAGACGGGTGGGGGGGACTAGAACTGGCCGGTTGAGCGGGTGAGGCGCGAGAGAGTGGAAGGGCGGGACATGAAGGCAAGTGCCTTTGGCGGGCAGTTTCTGCACGTTGGCAAATTTGCTCTGAGCCACCCTCCTCCTCCTCCTCCTCCTTCTCCTCCTCCTCTCTCCTGCTCCTTCTCCTTTCTCTTTCTCTTTTTTCCTTGTCCTTGTAGTAGTTCCAGTGGTGCCCCCCCGTCGCCAGGACGTTTCTCGACCTCGTAATTCCAGCTGTGCTCCTTCTCCGTCCTCTCCCCGTTCCCCCGTTCCCCTCCACCTATTGATTTCTCTCCTCGTTCCCGCCCTCCCCCCCTCCTCCCCGTCCTCTCTCTCCTCTTCGTTCTCCGCCGTCCAGCCATTTTCTTCGATGAGGACGGCAGGAGTCGACCATCGAGGCCTTCGCGGATCTTTCGCTCCAGGGGTTCCTTGGATGCCTCTTGGGGGCCATTTCGGAAGTGGAGCACGTCTGCAAGGTCGGTGCAGCGACTCGTGGGACATTCGGCTTCCATCTCGGAACCACTACATCATCAGCCCAGGCGAGTGGGCGGGTTGGCCTGATCCCAGCGGGCGGGTTTGTTCAGAATGCGAGGTCACCGCTGCATGTCAACACGGATGGGCCTCTTCGCCGTACGTACGTATGCGCCGCCGTGGTTGTGCGAGCACGTGGGGCCCGTTCTGCTTTCAAGCCTACGGGCCCTCCGAGTTGAAAAACAATGTGGGCCCCCCGTTCTGTTGCAGCATCCCGCGGAGCCCACTGGTCGCACAGTAAAGCAAGGCCGCAGCAGCTTGTGGTGCACAAAACGCGGTGCCCTCAAGTGCGGCGCCACCGATGCCCGGAAGAGTACATGGGCCTCCTCGTTGTGCACACATCAGTGGCCCTGGATAATGCAAGCACGTGAGGCCCATTGGTGGGCCACCGAGCTGTACAGGCACCCGAGATTCCCATTCGTGGTAACAGCCCGCGGGGCCCCTCAGACCTGCAACAGCGCGAGGCTTTTCCTTCTTCTTTCCCATCCTTCGCTCCTCCGTCCTCCTCGTCGTCGTCCATTTCGTTCCGATCGATTCGATTCGAGATTGGCTCCAGCCGGCCCGATTCGATTCGACTCCGATTTCCGGGCGATCCGAGCATGGCGCTGTTGTGCGTCCAGGCGCCGCCGATTCGATCCCATTCCGATTTTGTGCCTGGGCGGCCCTATTCGATGCACGTTGCGATGCGATCCAGTTTCCCGATTCAATGCTGATTGTTCCGTCGTCGTCGTCCTCCTCTTCCTCTTCCTCCTCCTCCTCCTTCTCCTCCTCCTCCTCTTCTCTCCTCTTCCTCCTCCTCCTCCTCCTTCCCTCCTCCTCCTCCTCCTCCTCCTCCCCCTCCTCCCCCTCCTCCTCCTCCTCCTCCTCCTCCTCCTCCTCCAACGCAATGTTGGTATTCTTCACGCTTCGCTCATCCTCACCAGTCCAGTCAGAACCGCTGCCGATGAGAGCTGACGGGAAACGGGCGGAAGAGATCCTGGAGCGATGCCCAGGCTAGCCGCCT